TGGTGCATTCATTATAGGAAACCGAACGCAGTTACCGTTAAAGATCTATTTCCACTTCCGATCGTATCGGAATGTATTGAAGCTATTTGTGGAAATAAATGGTTTCAAAACTGGATGCCAATTCGGCACACTGGCATATTCCACTGAAAAAGGAAGATAGGAAAAAAACCGCATTCTTAACTAAGTACGGTTTATTTTAATTTACTAAAAAGTGGGATTCGGGTTTTGTAACGCTGTTGCGACCTACACTAGAGTGGTCATTCTTTTTTTAAACGGGTTAAACTGGAATATCGCATTAGCATTTTTAGACGATACGCTAGTAATGGGCGAAGATGTTGACAATCATTTAACTAATCTAAAGAAAGTTTTGGATAGGTTTAGGCAGTATTAGATTAAACTTAAGAAATGCGAATTATTTCGTCAAGAAGTTGAATTCCTTGGTCGCGTTGTTAGTCAGCATGGTTTAAAAGCTGGCAATAATCTGACTAAAACCGTGGAAAAATGGACGGTGCCAACCTGTACTAGAGAAGCCGAATCATTTCTGGGTTTCGCTAATTATCACCGAACATTTATAAAGCAATTTGCCGAGAAAGCGTTTCCGTTATATCAAATTACTGGAAAGAAAACATTTGTTTGGGGCCCAGAACAACAGAGCGCTTTTGACAAATTAAAGCATTCTTTAGTTACGACACCGGTCTTAACTTTACCAAATACAACAGATCCATTTACTTTAGATTTTGACGCTAACATGAACTCTATAGGAGCCGAGTTGTCTCAAGTGCAGGATGGTCAAGAACGGGTAATCGCTTACAGCAGTTTTTCCTTAACGCCCGAACAGCGCCGTTATTGCGCTACTCACTTGGAATTGTTAGCGATAGTACGCTTTACTAGAAAGTTTAGGCATTACTTATTAGGAAAACCGTTCCGCATTCGTACGGATCACAATAGTTTGACTTGGTTATTAAAATTTAAACAGCCTACTGGACAATTAGCACGATGGCTTAAGGAGCTAAGTCAATATGACATGATAACCGAGAAGAGCTCAAAACCATCAAAATGCAGATGCTTTATCACGGATGAATTTAACAGATCGACCTTGTTCTAATATCGATATAAATATGAAAGTAACCGATTTACCGTGCGTTGGATGTAGATATTGTCAAAGGGCTCATAAAAATTGGATAGATTTCGCAACAAATGTTGACGATGTTAGGCCTTTGTCGTTTAAGGGGGTACAAAAGGAAAATGAACCCGTTAATGAACCAGCTAGTATTTTGATTACCGATTGTCCTGGGAATCCCCGAGTTAATATAGTTACAATAGACGACGACGATAACGACGACTATGGGGGAATATCATTAAGTAATTTTTCTTCCGAAATACTCAAAGACAAACTAGGTAAAGACTTAGATTTGAGATTGTTCAAAACCGGGTTAAAAACCGGTGTTGAACCCAAAGAAAGTGACTTGATGCTATCTAGTCCTGCGGTTAAATATTACTGGATAAACCTTAACTTATTTCTTCTCGATGATAGTGAAATTCTTAGGGTAAAACGATTAAATAATTTACTCGATACGCTATTAGTGGTTCCAGAAGAAATAAAACTGGATATTTGTCAGTTATGTCACGACATTCCCTTATCAGGACGCAGGCTGGGAGCGAACACATTTTGATGATAGTGGACCAATTCACAAAGTGGTTTGAATGTATTCCATTACCTTTACAAACCGCGGAGATTACCAAATGAGTTTTTTTTCTCGATTTGGGTGTCCTTTCCAGTTATTTACGGATCAAGGGAGAAATTTTGAGAGTAATTTATTTCTCTCATTATGCAAGGTCCTGCATATACATAAATGTCGCACTACGCCATATCGCCCGTCGTCCAACGGACAAGTCGAACGGTATAACCGAACGCTAATGGAAGCGGTAAAATGTTATGTAGACGGATGTCAGGAAACGTGGGATATCTTTTTGCCACAAAATGCAAGTGCATTACGGTCTAGTGTAAACCGTCAGACAGGCTTTACGAGTAATGAACCAATGTTAGGGCGTGAAATAAACCACCCAGCTGATTTGATGTTTGGCACACCTGGCGAAAATAGCGTTGATATAAATACTTAAGTCGAAAAACTCGAAAAAACTATGAAAGAAGTTCATGAAATAGCCCGGAAGAATTTAAACGCGAGCCAAGAACGTATGAGAATAGATTTTGATCTACGTGCAAATGTTAATGAATACACGTTAGGTGACGTAGTATATATTTTGGATACCGCGGTAAAGAAAGGTAAAAGTCGCAAGCAATCCTCGGCTTGGAAAGGTCCGGGTATTATTACCCAAGTAATTACTCCATATTTGTTTAAGGTAAAAACTCGTAAAAAGGAGAGTATCATGAATCATGATCGGTTAAAATTATGTCTAGATCGGGAGTTGCCTCCATGGATCATGACGTTTTAAAATAAGCCCGATCCTACATCCCCGAGTCCGACGGGGAATATTGAAATATATTGCATATGTAAGGGTCCCGACGATGACAGTCCCATGATTTGTTGCGATCAGTGTGACGAGTGGTATCACTACCGTTGTGTCGGTATAGAACCTGACGATGACTGGGAGGATAAGGACTATGTGTGTCCTAATTGCAATTAATATTCTGGTCCCGGTATGTTTTGTCGGTCAAAGAGGGGGGCTCAGGAGGTTAAAATGGACAACAATACTGCCTACCGACTTATACGGTATTGGCAGTGTTTGCTTTTCTTTTTCGGAATGGATAATACAACAAATTGGAGGACACCTGCGAGGTTCCTAATTGAACCGCCATTGGACCAAGCATATGCCATGTGGGTGGAACAGGCATCAGCTAATTCAGCCACTGGATGCGACTGGGAGCGACACAATGACGGACGTTCCCAAACACCTCTATATTTTGCACAACCATCCCGTCTTGAGGCACTACTTTCGCGGGTGGCTAGCCACCATTTATTCCATGAATCCCCGTGGATAAGACGCCAGGGAAGGGAACAGAAATACCGATACATGGATGTCCGGTCCGAGACAAGAAAATTAAATTTCATATATTAAGATGGCATTTGCCTCAGTATTTTACTGGGGTGTGGGACTGTGCACCCGACATTTTAGACAAGAGGATGGAGGCTTTTTCGGCTTTATGTCGAATTTTATCCGAGACACCGTTCACAATGGTTAGGAATTTTAACAGGGGTGGGTATTTGCCCGACGAGTGTCTTTTTAGGTCGGTTCACAAACCGACACTAAGGGCCCATTGTGAGCGGGCTGGATGGAGAATCCCCGAAGGAGATAGGTTTACCCTTCTACCTTTGAATTCCCCAGCTTGTTTGACGTATTGGAGGTGTTTATTTACAATGCTCAACTTTTTGACACCTTCCCAGCAGGGAGATTTTGTGGGGTTTTTAAGGGCCGCGCCCGTAGGTAGAGATGACCTGTTTTCGGTTAGGGATGGGGGCGAGGATTGGGAAGGGGAAATCGAAGAAATAACTCTGTCCTAGGTTGGGAGAGGTTATTATGTATATAATTGTATATATTTGTTTTGTTGTTTGAAAGGGCGTGTTTGGGTGAATGTTACGGTGTATATTAGATACCGTCGCCTGAGTGTATGGTGCATGAGTGGATAATTTAAAATTATGCTTTCAGTTTTTCTGTAGCCTAAGGAAGAGAGGCTAACCTCCCGAAAGAAAACGGGGAGGATTGTTGTGGAAAATGAATGACTGGTCTGATGCCCGACTTCAGGACGGGGACTACTTTACAGATTCCTACGCCGAAATATACTGGTATATAAGCGGTGATGACCGCGTGTGAGGTTCACAAAAGAGTTAAAAGGTATTGTTATTTCTTGTTTAGCGGACATTCCGAAGTGGGACTTCGGGCATTCGCACTTTATTATCCCATTGCCTTGCACCTCTGACCCCTCTACTTCGAACACAATGGGAACGATGATTACTGTTGATCAGTTGGGGTGGATAAAAGGTTGTTAGTGAGAATATTTGATAAGTTGAGGTGATCATTTGTCCCTTTTGTATACAATCCAATAATATAAAACACCGTTTTGCAAATATCTTATAAAATATATCCCAAAAGAGTAAAAGTTTGGCAGTAACGTGATCCTATATGTTTTAAACGTTTCTATGCTAAAAATCATTATGACAATTTACAAGTAACACAGTAAAAAAGACCCAAATACACAGAGCACATAAAATACAGCTGCCTCTAAGGCGCTAACAACTAGAGAGTAATGGAAGAGTGTGCAAGCCCAATGTTAATGATAATGTCTTTTTCATTTAACCCAAGCCATTTGTAGTCACCGCTATATTAATTGTATGTAAATAAATAGCATTAAATTGATAATAAATAAAACATATTACATAAACGGTTTTAACAAAACTGTTTGGCCGATATGTCCATAATCCCTTGACGTAGCTGACCGCATAATAATGAATGAAATATATTGTATTAGGCCAGTCGGTGCAGAAAATAGGACGTTAAAGCCAATTTCATTTCATTGTTTAAACTATCCCTTTCAGTAGCTCAGCTAAGTCAGCCTTGCTAACTGAATGCAACTCTCTGTTGGTCGCTGCAAGGGCAAGTGGAACTGGTGATAACCCATGTTTCAGTATAAGGACAAATCAACATTTCTCTCGATGTCACATGGGCATAAAAAAAAGTTGGGTACCCCTGCCCCAGAGAAAGGCAAGGCAGGCACAGACATATCCTAGGGTCCAATATGACAAACCTAAGATTCACAGCACAATCCCTTAGATCATTTGATCACCCTATTCCCCACTCTTTTAGGGCTTGTTGAGTCCTATATGACAAACCTAAGATCCACAGCACAATCCCTTAGATCATTTGGTCACCCTATCCCCCCACCTTTTTTATAGTTGTTACGGCTTTGAATGGCTTTTTCAGAGGTAGCCATGTGACAAGACAATAAATAAAAGATTGCTCTATTAAAATTTATTTTAATGCAGTAGGCAATCTATTAAGTGATCTATTTACAAACCTTATATTTACAAAGATGAAATGATAATTAGAAATACATTCGATATACATTCTAAAAATATTAATTATTATTATTTATTTTACAATATCACGTCTCACTCTAGCTAATCATTTATTACAGACGAACCTCTTCTATCATAATATGTAATAGATTAAATAGAAACTCATTATAGAAATTCATTTCTACTCTTGTTACCTATTCAATATATAAACGTTACCATTTTATAATAAAATAGTTTTCTATAATAACAATACTTATATGTATATAAAACTATAAAATATATTTACATACAGTAACTAAAATATTTTTCAAAAACTAATAAATAAATGTTTAGCCTTTCTGAATATGATAATGTTTACATATTTTCCACATTTAGGATTATAGAACGTTTAGAAAATATGTTACTATGGCGGTGGTAATAGCCACAGGAAAGTAAAGAAGAAAGCAATATACTGCACAAGTTGTCCAGTGATTAAGTCGGCTTAATATTATCTCTTATTCGTTCCTAAAAACTAACAATATACACACAGAAAGGTGTTCCAATTAAATGTCATACAATCACACAAAATTCACTCAGCAGTAGAGATAGGAAGAGTACCCCTTAAAAACACTATAACACCTACCCAGAGATTCTGATATAGAGATCTCGATTACTATAATGTGAATGACAAATGTTATAGGCTTGTGCATATATTTAGCGGTTCAGCAGAAGATTAGTTTTGAAAATTGGATAAGTATTACCTAGCGTCCATGAATTCTCTTTTTCAATCTTAATAAATATCACCTGCAATATGCGATTTGCTTGAAATCTCTTTTAATCAAAGACCAATGCAGAAGTCTAAAAATCTGAACACATATGTTTGTATTATACAAGAAAACCATACAACTGGAGAATTATTACCTGAATTGACAATATAAAACACTTTCAAAATAATTCCATAGTTAATCTAGGCCACAGATCAGAATGAGTTATATAAATAATTTTTGATATGGATATAATATGATTTATCAAATGGGGACAAAAACAGTCTCAACATCATACGTTTAACATACCAAAATTGATTCAACTGTTTAATCCAATTTGAGAATATTCCATATACTTATATGGAGACATAATTATTATTAATATATTAAATAATATTATATATTGACATGTTGACATGAAAGTTAATGGCGGTATTGTGGCCTGGCTACAGATAATGTTGAGCTACTGTATCCGTTATATCCACTATTCTGTAAATAATAAACATTTTTCATTTTAACAGTAATAGAAGCTTACCGGAATGACTTCGGTTTAAGAATATGTTTAAGTTAGGGGTGAGGGGAAGGTGGGGGGGGGACAAAACAATAGCTTGAAAGACATTTATAAGTAAACATGACAAAACACTTATAAGTAAACATGACAAAACACTTCACTTACTTGATATGCATTATAATAACGTTTCTTATTAGCATCCTGGTGTCGCGGTAATGGCAATGTTTCCGCATGAACATAATCATCCATCATCTGAAAATACACGAAATAATCAATGGACATATCACCCATTATCTGAATTAAATACATAACTATCCATTATTTAAAATAACATTGAATAGCTACGGAACATAACCATCCATTATCTCAATAAAAAACCCCCACCAGTTTTAATAGTCCCCAGTTTTGTTTAACGGCGGAGACAGAAATATCAGAACATAATATCAAGTACTGTGTGTGATGGAGTGAGAAATTCCTTAGCTTTACTTTAAGACCTATTTTTAAATTAGTCTCAAGCTTTTTTTTTTGCCTGTATTTCATAAACTAACACATTTGATTTGACGCTATCCATGCAATAATCATATCCCTGACTGAATTTACCTACTGAAGCCAACCGACACTTCAACCGCCAATGTGAACCTATATAGAACTTGTATACAACATTCCAAGATACCAACTCTTTTATATGGCTTTTAACCTAGAAAGATTATTCTAGTCGGCAACGTGATTCGCCAGTAACGAAGAACGAGACAGCACGTTATTCGGGATTCGGGATTAGCCACTAAAACAGACCGGTCTACCTTCAATTTCCTCTCCACCTCCGACCCTAGGGGTAAGTGAACGTCGGGTGGCCGACTAGCAGGGTGACGGCAGCTTCTCAAGCGAGTAGGGTGCTGACTGGTTTGTTGGAGTGCACTGGGTAGTGCTCTCCTGCACTCACCTGTTTTATTGTGGAATCCCAAATAACGAGCCAGCACGTTATTCGGGATTCGAAAGTAAAACAGACCGGCCTACCTTCCATCTGACCGTAGGGATAATTGAACGTTGCGTGGCGGACTAGCACGTTATTCGTGATTTGGGATTCGAAACTAAACCAGAACGATCTACCTTGCATCCACCCATTTCCTCGTTGGGTGACCGACTAGCACGGAGACGACTGTTTGTCAAGCGAATAGGTTGCTGACTGGTTTGTTAGAGTGCATGGGGCAGTCATCTCCAGCAATCACCTGCCTTATTGCCGAATCCCGAATAACGTGCTGGCTTCGGGATTCGTCACTAAAACAGACCGACCTACCTTGCATCCGACCATTTCCTCGCTACCCCCGACTGTAGGGGGTAAGTGAACGTTGGGTGACCGACTAGCAAGGAGACGAGTGTTTGTCGAGCGAATAGGGTGTTAACTGGTTTGTTGGCGTGCACTGGGGAGTCCTCCCCTCCACTCACCTGTTTTATTGTCGAATCCCGAATAACGAGCCAGTGCGTTATTCGGGATTCGGAAGTAAAACAGCCCGGTCTACCTTCCATCCGACCATTTCCTCGCTACCCCCGACCGTAGGGATAAGTGAATGTTGCGGGGCCGACTAGCACGGAGACAACCGTTTGTTATGCGAGTAGGGTGCTAACTATTTTGTTAGAGTGTACGGGACAGCCCTCTCCAGCAATTACCTGTTTTACTGATGAATCCCATATCCCTAATAACGTGCTGGCTCGTTATTCCCAGCACGTTATTCGGGATTCGGGATTCGCCACATGCATCCGACCATTTCCTCGTTGGGTGATCGACTAGCACGGAGACGACTGTTTGTCAAGCCAAAAGGATGCTGACTGGTTTGTTGGAGTGCACGGGGCAGTCATCTCCAGCAATCACCTGTTTTATTGCCAACAACGTTTAAAAGCTTTTACCAATCTCTGACTCGTATTATATTACTGAGAATTTTAGAAAATACCTACATATTCATCAATATATCTAATAGGTTCTGATACATAACTCCATCTTCTAGTATCACGTGGTGGTACTTCATAAGGTCGTGACCCGTCCATCCAGACGCGCGGTAGTTTGACCACGCTGGTATCCAAATTACTCCCCATTCCGATAGTACTAGATCGACTGGATTTTCTGTAAAAAAGTAATAAATAAAATATCGAATCAAGAGCTAAACTGTCTAATGAAACATAATAAAGACTTCTACTTTGAAATTCAGATAACTGTTTTCGCAACCACGGAGTTACCTTCCCAGTTATGTTCTGTTTTTAACGTTTCTGAATACGACACCTGATAGGGGTATCAAATGGAATTCATAAAGTTGGTGACAATACCAAGTTAGAGTTTTCATTGAAGTTTTTAATTTATCTTAATATATCATAGAGATTTATTTTGTAAAGGGAAATATGTGACAATTGTATGTAAATACAATCTGATTAAAACACAGATCGTTTCATTTTTTTATAATTTGGATGGCCTACACTACATGGAGACCTGACGAGTTGTACTGGAAGGTCGCGTAAGGGATCGTACGAGCGACTTTTGATCCTATGACGTCAGACATTGATTAATCAATCAGCGTTGGCGTTTCAAGTGGTTTACACAGTTTCGTGCATGGCACGCCAAGAAGTCGCCATAACAGATGGTGTCATTGGCTAATCCCTAACGCCATCCAGAACGCCTGTTATATAACAACTCTTCCAGATCCCAGTGTATTACAGACAAACAAAAACAAAACAAAACAAAAAAAACCCGAAATTTTAAACTATAAAAAGCGAAACGAAATAGGATCTGTGTTTTAATCAGATTGTATGTAAATACTAACCATACTATATACGGGTAAATAGGGGTAGATAATAATTACCTTGATCTGTTTTTCATGGTACAAACACAGATAAAACACAACAAGACAGTTAATATCAATAATCCACCTAATACACTGGCGCATATAATTAATAATTCTGTAAAATAATTATCACATTATAAATATTAATATTATTTATATTTATCAGATGCATGGCCCAGTAATATGTAAAGAATGTCATACAAGTCTCGGGATTCATTAAGTCCGGTTCCATCAAGTCGGGGATAAGTAGCCGGGGGTTCCCACTCCAGCGGGCTCTGGGTGGTTCTCTACCCCCGGGAAACTATTTGAAAACCTGATTGTAAATGGTGCTTTCTAGAGTATATCTTGAGTATCAAATCCACAGAGACTGCATTGCTTAGCAATTCTTGAAAAATGACGTAACTTCAAGACTAAAAAGGGCACCAGAACTACGTGAGAACATTAACTTCCTTAGGGGTAAACGAGTCTACTCGCCCGCTTCTTCCCAGTCCACCCCTTCTATGAAGCTGACAAGTAAAGTGTTGTACACACTGGCATTCACAGAAAAAAACCTTGACATTTAACATAATTTTGATGAGGAACAGGCGGAGACGAACCTATCAAGGCAAAATTTTATTCCCTAGTATTGAACAACGTGACTATAGAATAAAAAAAACGTTTGTTTGTTTCAAAATGACCGAAGTGTTATATTGGAGGCTTAACTCCGTTACTTTCCCTTCTGTTTTTAAGAAATAATACCAAAAGTCAGCTGTTCGTGTCCCAGCTAATTTTTTGTATGTTTTAAGATTGATGCTATGTTTTGTTAAAAAATTCTTATTTAGCTAAAATGGTAGGCTACAGGCATTCAATATCTCTGATACCCATATCCGCCTATCAGTGAATAAATAGAAGACTTTTATTAGGCTACCATCAATCCGATCGCGGATTTTGGAATCCTCCACTCGTGTAGGCCTACTTGTGATTGTCCTTGATAGGATAGTGCTTATTAACAAACATTAAAACCTCACGACCATGACTTTATTAAGAGTAAAAAATTCCTAAGAGGACAGTAAAAGTAATAAAAAATGAAATTGCTTCAAGAATCAGGAGGGGTGGGCTTATATCGACTTTGCTACTCAAAGCAACTAGTTCCAGTCAGTTGCAAGTGTGCTTATGTCGATCATAACCGAGGACAACTGAGAGCACCTGAATCCGGAACTGACAGCGATTACACTTAACACATAACTGTTTATTTATTCATCACGTGATCAACAAAATGGCGGATACCTTAGGTGTCTTCGTTTGCTTCCATTTTGCTTATTTGTAAAGGCACATGACACATGATGTTATTTCCATGGAAATGAGTTGACACCCGTTCTAAGAACGCCAATGTCGACAGCAACTAGTTGCCGCTAGTTGAAACGAGTTTCAGAAAGTTAAACAACTGACTTCAACTGACCGGAACTAAATGCTTTGAGTCGTAAGAGGCGCTCAGGTCGACCTTTTTCAGTTCCATTCAGTTGCTCCCAGTTGCTCTCAGTTGTAATTTCGACATTCAATTAAGCCCCCCTCCCCCTTAAGTGAAAAATGTCATTTAAATGTGCTGTATATCCATAACCTTTTTATATAAGAATATCGAGGAAAGAAACATAGTACATGTATTATATATATATATATATATATATATATTAGCTAACCTTTTCCATTTATTTCACAATTAGTACCAATAAACCAATCTGGACAACTGAAAATGGTATAAAATATTGTCGAATTATTATTTCTCTCGGGCACGAGGCTTCTTAGAATGAGTAGGGGTGGGGTGGGGCGGATAGGAAATGGAGAAAAAAAACACGAGGATTGGCAAACTACTACTTGATATATAGGATCGCGGGATGGAATTCACTTCAACCAACCAAATCATGACATTTCTGATCTCATTGTCACGCCAATAGAAAAGGCTAAGAGCGAACTTGAAACTACAGAAGAAGTTAAAACGTTTGGCTAACAAGAGAAAAATTTTGGATTGACAAATTGAAAACAACAGCCCCCCCCCCTAGGTTTGAATATTCATACGGCTAGCACAATAGCCCCTTTTGTAGTCCCATTTAGCGCAACCGCAGCAAGTTCATCCAAAATCATCAGAAAACACTATACTGATCTCCATGAAAATCACCCGAAAATCTTCACACAGAAACTTATAATGCATTTTCTAAAATTAAAATTCTGAACGACATCCTAGTGCACAGTAAATTAAACTAAATAACACCAGTACTCACCCTTACCCAAAGCAAACAACATATCAAACCCCAGCCTTAACCCCTAGCAAATAAAATCAACTAGTTATGAGAATCCCTAGCTCTAAATCCAATCCTTAGTAGGAAACATACTAATGTGGCTCTCACTCGAAGCCTCAAATTTATTCTTTGTTCTTCAAAAACCAAAATATCAGAATATTATAAGTGACACCGAATGGAGACCATCAGCACATTCAACATCAAAAAACAGAGAAATCAACTTTTTACATAAACCTGATGTATTGCATGTATTTTTTAATAAAAGTAGGATATATCACGAACCAAATTTTCATCATCCTAGGTCAGTGCTTGTGTGGAGACTTATGCTCTCCCCCAAATACTTAAACCGAACACTAATGCACAATCCACATATGACGTCATAATGTGCAGGACCGTCTTCGATCTAGCGTTCTCCGAGATTTCGTTGCCGTCACGGTCGTCCAGCTTGATTTCCTCTTATTGTGAGGTGAATACCCTTATATATACTATTCAAAAAAAGTAGGGGATATTTGATTTTTAAGTGTTATTAAAGTCACCTAATGAAACTGACGAAGAAACAAATGACAAAATGAAATGAAGTTCACATTTAAAGACGAGTTTCATGACCATATACTGACAGGAAACTTCGATATTGTTGAAGATAAAAATCTTTTTCGCTTTGGACCACAATTTCAAGAACAAACTAGTAAAACTAATTTCAAAAAGTTACATAATAATCTTAAATCTCAAATCAGGAAATGCATAGTAGCTTGGTCTGATAAATTTCGTGCACCATTAGAATCTTTTGGAGAATCGAAAAACACAGTTTTTGATCTCTTGTCAAAAAGAATCAAATATATAAAACTTAACCCAAGACACCCGCCACCCGAAGTCCTAAATATACTATTCAAAAAAAGTAGGGGATATTTGATTTTTAAGTGCTATTAAAGTCACCTAATGAAACTGACGAAGAAACAAATGACAAAATGAAATGAAGTTCACATTCATCGATTTATTCCAAATGATCGTTAGACTAAGTAAGGCACAGACTGACCATTATAAGGGTAAAATGATACCCGGGGTCAAACAGCAAAGTTACCACAGCATCACAACCAAGTCAGTAACGGGTAAATCCTCCTCTGTTTGCCAAACAAGCATTGATCCGACGTGGCATACTCCTAATGAGACGTCTAAGGTCATTTTGGTCCAGATTGTCCCATTCCTGTTGCAACGCAGCAGCAAGTTCTTGGACATTGGCAGGACGTTGTTGACGTTGACGTAACCTCTGTCCAAGCATGTCCCAGACATGCTCGATGGGGGAGAGGTCGGGGCTCAGTGCTGGCCAAGGTAATGTGGTGATGTTCTGTTGTTGGAGGTAACCTGTAACGATCCTGGCCCTGTGACATCTTGCGTTGTCATCCTGGAAGATGAAACGGCGGCCATGACGTCGTGCGAACGGCACAACATGGACTGCCAAGATGTTGTCCCGGTAGTACTGGCCTGTAACACGCCCTGCAACAACATGTAAAGCCGTTCTTCCAGCAACAGTGATGCCTCCCCACACCATAACAGAACCACCCCCCAATCGATCATGTCTGATGACGTTAACGTCTTGGAAGCGCTCGTTTCGACGACGCCACACCCTCCTACGTCTGTCCAAAAAATCAACAGTGAACCTTGACTCATCTGAAAACATCACATTGCTCCAGCGTCGATTATCCCAGTGTTGACGATCCCTACACCAACGACGTCTTGCCTGAATGTGATGATCTCTCAAACAAGGGATCACGCGAGGACGTCGGGCGCGAAGGTGACCCCTATGCAGTCGATTCCGAATCGTCTGGCCACTCACTCTCACACCAGTGTCTGTTTGAAGACGAGCGCTGATCTGATTTGCTGTGATGACACGATTTCTCAAGGCCAAGGTACGGATAAATCGATCCTGGGCTTGAGTTGTCGCCCTTGGTCGACCTGAGCGTGGTCTGTCCTGTACAGATTGTGTATCACGGTATCTGGACCATAGCCTGCTTATGACAGACTGAGAAACATTCATCGTCCGCGCCACAACCGCCTGTGTTGTGCCGATCTGTAGCATGCCAAGGGCACGTAACCTTTCATTTTGGGTAAGCCGACGCATATCAAAATTTGTTTTCTGGTCACTAAAACAATTAAACTGATGTTTCCACCCTGGAATTCAATGCCACAATGACTGTAACATCCAAAGTCAGAGTCGTGCAAATCTTGGGTTGGACCCCCATGATGATCCCAAGCATCACCTGCATTCCATGCGGTAGCTATTGGTGCGTTTGGGCGTCACATGTAACTGGAAATGTTTCTTCTGTTAGGTTCTATAGTGACTTTTTTCGTTGTCATTTGCATATTTTAGTATTATGCCCCCAAAATCAAATATCCCCTACTTTTTTTGAATAGTATAGTAGTGACTTATAGTGTGCCAGGTTGATCTTTGTCCAGGTTATGAAATACGAGATTAGTACCATCCAAATGATCATTCCTCAAGTTATAATCGAAAATACAAATGTGCCAGACAATTATTTACCTATTTACAAAAAGTAAATTTCTTATAGTGTGCTGGCTTATAGTGTGCCGGGTTGATCTCGGCGTCGTTTACGTATATGTTAATAAGTCACGTGATATCCTACATTTGCATAATATCAAAAATAGTGCTGTGCGTAAGATGGTATGCAGAAATCGTGAAGGACAAATGAGATGCAGCAGAACGCAAATGTAAAATGTAATGAGAGAAATGTAAAATGTTGACACGTCAAAACAGCATTTCCAATAAGACATTTGTCATTTGACACATTACTTTTGACGTTTTACATTTAACTTTGGCCATTGAGGTATTTATACTTGATCATTACCGGTATTAGGACTTTGGACATTGTACTTTTTACATATAATCAATCGAAAAGACATTTTAGCAGAACATTTAATATTGGCAGCGATACCCTTCCATACAAATTGCCGACAATATGTTGCACTTATGATAGACGGTACAAATAAAATATAATGTTGCATATTATATTCTTTACATTTAGTGTAAATATTCTATCTCCAATAATACTGACATTGACCAAATAGTGTGTACTTACGAACAAGTTTCGGCTCCTTCCACAACTTCACACGTGCCATTATTTTTACATTTACAAGCAACTAAAGAAAACAAATCAAGTATATCAAAATAAAGACTATTCTATTAGTAAAAAAAAAGAATACTACAACCTCCCTGACCCCCCCCCCCCACCCAAAAATTAATAAAGGTGTTCTTTTAATTGAGTGTTTATGAACTGCTGTGTTATTTCGTTTAGTACTCTATACGATTAAAGTTTCACTCTATTAAACTAAAGGGATAGCGGAAGTGGGTCTGTTTGCAATTTCGTTTTTCACGTAAGCTGTCCAGTGTCGAACTCAAAACAGACAATATCACAACATTGACTATATCGATTATTATAAAAATAATGGTATATCGTAGCGAATTAGGTAATCTTTTATAGAACATTGGTTGAAAGGCTGGGTCTCGGTGAAAACTGGGAACTGAGATCCAATGTGGGAATCCTAAGTGTCCGGTTTAAATACGTTTAATACTTACACCGCAGATGATATCATTTAATAATAGCCATACGATATTTACCCCTTCACCATGACTATGTTTATTTACTATATATCCAATAATAACCTCCACACCACAATCGATTTTGTAAAACAAACAACAGATAACAAGTCAAATTTCAACAAGGACATATTATTAAGCTTAATATCCCCCCCTAAGGTTGGCAGGCAACGAAACATACGCCCACAGCAGCTAAGTCATCCGGGCAGTCAACAAGTGTTGTCGCATATTTACAACACATGACAATCAGATTACGAGTAATAACCCATGGATTATCAGAAAACATTAGAATTTGTTTTGATTGTTTGTCTCGTGACCTTAAACAATTTATATTAACTTTAGCCTCTAGAATGAATGAATGAAATGGAGCTTTAGCCTCTAGAGCGCACACAAGATTTTTCAAAGTGATCAAGGGCCTTAACTCTGGTAGGAATTATCGGAAATAGTTGAAACTGGATAGGATTCTTTGTCTCGTGACCTTAAACACTATGTATGAGTTTAAAGTCAATCGGATATTAACTTTAGCCTCTAGAGCAACAAGATATTTCAAAGATAGCAAGGGCCATAACTCTGACAGTAACTATCGAAATCGCTGAAAATTAATAGGCGTCTTCTTTTCATGACCTTAAACACTAACTTTAACCTCTAGAGTGCCAACAAGATATTTCAAAGAGATCAAGGGCCACAACCCTGACAGTAACTATCGGAAATCGCTGCAAATCAACAGGATTCTTCGTCTCATTTTCTTATTATTAACACTGCGTATAAATTTAAAGTCAATCGGATATTAACTTTAGCCGCTAGAGTGTCCACAAGCAATTGTATCCCAGTTATTTAACGCAAAATCATTGAATACCTCAATTATTATGTTCCGCACGAATTAAATATATTGGCTATTTACATGACCTATTCCTGGAAATATAGGATTATATCCCTAATATTTCGGTTCCTTTCGATATTGGTAGGTATCGGACCGCAACTTCGTGGATTATGGCACCTGATATATAGTACCAAAAATTGCATTTTTAGCATGTGGGGCCCTCTAGAGGTCACAATTTTTTATCAGCTTTTAATGAAACTTAAAATATATGGTTATATCCCAAATATCTCGGTTCATGTCGATATTGGCGCATATCGTACCGTAACTTTCTGGATTATGGACCCTGATTGTATGTCTTTAGCTTGTGTCCCCTCTAGAGGTCACAGTTTTTATTTCATTTCAAACACGGTTCGAATATGTCACTGTTACACCATAATTACGGTTGAATTTGAATTTCGTGAAAATCGGACTGAAATTTCTTGTTAAAATCCCCCCCCCCCCATTGTTCTGCTCCGACTGGGCTTATGAAGACATGTGTGCTATGCGGGAAATCTTGACACGGACAGTGGCACTACTGCCTACTCTTATATCGAATTCGGACTGCCAAGGGATCTTTTACGTGCACGCCAAATGTCTACACGGGACCTCGGTATTTCGATATAAGAGTAGGCCGTAGCGCCACTGTCCGAACTTCATTAGTCTAGTCAGAGTAGAAAAGTAGGGCGTTAAACTCCATTTCATTTCATTTCATGTTTACACTATTTGCGTAAAGGGGGGGGGGGGGTGATTTTAACAGGAAAATATGAAAAGTTGCCTGGCAACGAAACATACGCCCACAGCAGCTAAATCGTCCGGGCAGTCAACAAGAGTTGTGGCATATTTCTTCTTTTGCCGGTATTGAAACATTTATAATACACTAAAATCTGATTTAGAGTAACAACTCATTAAGTAATTATCAGAAAATCATTAGAACTTGTTTGGCTTCTAGTTCTGCCCATGCTAATGTTTAGTATACAAAACATTTCATATCATGGATTTTGCTGTTCAAGTTATCAAAAATCATTGAAAATCAATATACTTGTTTTTCTCAAGATCTTAAACTCTGTGTATCAATCTAAAGTCAATCGAATGATCACTTTGGCCTGTAGAGCATCCGCAAGATTTTTCGAAGTAATCAAGGGCTACAACTCTGGCAGCAATTATCGGAAATCCTTGAAAATATATAGGTGTCTTCAACTCATGACCGTAAACGCTGTGTATAAATGGAAGATAGGTTGTATATGCCCACAACAGCTAAGTCGTCCGGGCATTCAACAAGAGTTGTCGCATATGTTTTCTTTTGTCGGTAATAAAACATTTATAATACACTAAAATCTTATTAAGAGTAACAACTCATTACGTAATTAGCAGAAAATCATTAGAATTTGTTTGACTTCTAATTCTATCCCATGCTAAAGTTTAATATACAAAACATTTAATATCATGAAAATCAATATACTTGTTCGTCTCACGACCTTGTATCAATCTAAATTCAATGGAATGATCATTTTGGCCTGAATCATAACTCTGGCAGTAATTGTCGGACATCGTTGAAAATCAATAGGCTTCTTCGTCTTAAACACTGTGTATAAATCTAAATTCAATCGAATATTAACTTTAGACTCTTAGAGCCGTCCACAAGATATTTCAAAGTCATCAAGGGCCATAACTCTGACAGTAATAATCTGAAAGCGTTGAAAATCAATTTGAATGTCGAAAAACGAGCTATTTGATTAAAAACGAGCTGTTAGAATTATTATTTCATTTAATAAAATGCGTTTTTTAGTTGTTCTGTATCCATCCCTGAAATCTGTTTCTTTTTCTATTTTAAAATCTGAATATCGAAAAACACAATGTTGCCAGTAGTATAGTATGAACATCATACAAGAAATTGAAGAAAGAAATATAAATAACTCAAAAAACCTTTACGAACAATAATGATTTATTTAACTTTTTTTCATGAAAATATCCTACACACAAAAGTAAATTATTATTGAAATATTCAAATAATCTAGTAATAGACAAACGAGTGGTCAAAAGGTACTAAATCACCGGTTTTATGTTCGTACGCCACTCCAATGACAATAATGGTCAGGGCCGGCGGAAGCAATTCTTGATTTGGGGGCGGGGGGCGTGCTACCATCCTAGGTCCATATACGAGGGTCCAAGGGCCGCCTAGGCCCCGGAAGCCCTTTGGGATCTAGATCGTCGGAGACGCTTTCTAAGCGATTTCTGGCTAATAAAATTACTCGGCAATGAAGTGAAATTTTATTTCATTTTTAACTCCCTTACCATAAAAACACAATTTATGGTGGTTTAATCCTGTGATGCTGAACTTGACAAATATATGCATAATGCATGATGAAACTTACAATCTACGTTTAATACCGAAAGATCTCGGTTCCTTTCGATATTGGCGAATATATAGGACCGTCACTTCCTGGATTATGGGCCCTGATTTTACGAACCATGGACCCCGTAGAAGTAACAGTTTTTATTTGATTTTAAAAAAACTAGAATTATAGAATTTTTTTTTATCTGAAATTGACGAGACTTGAAATATAGGTCTATCTCCCAAAGATCTCCGTTTCTTTCGAAATTGGCATGTATTGGACCGTAACGTCATGGATTATGACCTCTGATTGTACGATACTCTAGAGGTCACAATTTTCATCCAATTTTGATGAAACTTGAAATGTATGTTTGGTTCCTTTCCATATTCGCGCATATCTGATTGTAACTTTCTGGATTATAGCCCCTGATTGTACGAAAAATCGAGTTTTTAGCTTGTGGTCCCTCTAGAGGTTACACTTTTTATCCGATTTAAAAGGCATTCGAATATATCACCGGTACACCATAATTACGGTTGAGTTCACATTTTCTTAAAATGAGACCGAGCTGGCCGACAAAATGGTCGCTCCCCTAAAAGCATATAATATTCAGTTTAGATCTAAATATTAAGGCCACCTGCAGATTTCGCCAATGTCACCAGATGTAAACAGGGCTGCGCAAACCCTAACCAAAGATCTAACCCTAACCCTAACTCACAACCCTCTGCAACAATCACTTGCCCTAACCCTGTTTACATGTCGTGACCTTGACGAAATCTGCTAGTAGCTTTAACATTTGGGTCTGATCGTAATACCCAGGTTGTAGACCATCCAGCGGTTCGAATTTTTTATCCAATGTTGATGAAATTTCAAATATATTTTTATATCCCAAAGATCTGTGTTTCTTCGATATTGGCTCGTATTGGACCGTAACTTTCTGGATTCTGATCCCCTGATTGTAGGAAATATCATGTTTTTAGCTTACGGGCCCTCTAGAGGTCATAATTTGTATCTTATTTTCAAAACTGTTACACAATAATTATTTCCGCAAAATCGGACCGAAACTTCCCCGTCAAATAGCCAGTCCCCTTTTCGAAAATAGTATAATAGAATCATGTAATACCCAGGTTGTGGACCATCTAGAGGTCACAATTTTATCCGATTTTGATGAAACTTAAAAAGAGTATCACTAGTTCACGGATGGGTTCCATTTGCTTGCGCTTCTGCCCCTGTCTTTTACACAAAATGTTAAATATGAATGAAGTTTGTTTAATATGAACTTCAACTGTGTTAAGGAACAAAAGTTCTTGGATCAGTTCGACTTTGGTAGCATCAGACCTTGCATTCTAGAGCT